CTAAACCCCTAAACCCCTAAAATTTCAGAGAATCCTTGCAGGTGTGGCCTGGTCCTCGGGACCGTTTGTTTGCTGCTCTCGGCCGTTGCCAGTGCCGGAGACCTCAGAAAGACTTTGAAAATGGTTGCGCAGTTGGGGATTACTGGGTCCTTGTTGGATACAGTTTTTCATTTTTTGTTACAAAGAAACAAAGTTAAAAGCCCTATAGGCATTAACAGCTATCATGTTCAATAAAGCGCCCAACAGGGAACCAGATGAGGGTTTGGGGACCTGGGGTTTCAGGCTTGGGGATTGGGGATTCGGGTTTAGGCCCTACAGGGCTTGGGGTTTAGGGGTTGGGTGTTCGGATTTTTGGGTCATTAAACCCTAATCCCTAAACCCTAAACCGGTTTAGGGTTTAGGGTTTAGGGCCAAATTTGGGGGGAGAGTTAGGGCCTGCGCCAGGCGTGGACGCTCTCCATGCTTGTGGACTGCGCACGGGCAACAGGCGGGCACCCTCCTTGACGGCAGCAAAAGACATCGGGTGACTCTGTGACTCTCATCTTAAGGACCGTGAAGATGATGACGGCGTCGAGATGATGCTAGTGAAAATTGTGGTCGTGGTCGTGGCGGTGATGACGATGTTGGTGGGGACGACGACTGGAGGCAATCGGTCAATGGTGTTGACATCAAGATGTAAAGGGACTATTTTGATGATGGTACTCGCGAAGTGCAAGTGCCGTGGACGGCCATTGCGACGACAACAAAGGTGATGATGGTGATGGTGCGGCTGCTGCCGCTGGCGGTGCTGCCACTGTGATGACACTGGTGGTGGCGGTGGTGATGGTGCGCCACGCCATTCTGCTTGAGCAATATGCTCGCAAAGCTGAAACTTGGAAAGGTCGGGACAGCTTCGAGTTGGTGGGCCACGCAGCCTACGGTGAAGTCAGCCAGAAGGTGCCTTCGCAACTTCTGTCAGTTGTGTTCGAAGCACTGGATGGCATTGTGAACCCTAGGGCCATGACAATCGTGCTGCATCAAGCACATAATATTTTCAGCCTGCAGAGAAAGTGCTAGAGAGTTCCACGGCAAACGTAGAAACACAACCCTGGCAAGCATGCTTGCTCTGTGACTTGTGACTGGTTGATCCACCGTTCCTGCTCGCACACTCAAGCCAAAACGCATGGGTAGTTGTCAAAATTATGGTCCCTTTGGGGGTACCCTAAATAATAGGTGCCGTATTATAATAAGGACCCAAAAAGGGACCATAATTTTGACAACCACCCGCATAGATTAGCGTAGATTGCTCGGCCTCTCCCTGGCCCCGGACCTGCTGCATCCCACCTAAAGCCCCAGAGGCCCCGACCAATGCAGCACTACTCGCTTCAGCAAAACTGTTCTGCTGCAGATTTGGGAGTTTCCGAAATTGGGGGTACCTTATTTTGGGGTCCTTATAATAAGGATCCTACTATTTAGGGTACTATATTAGGGTCCCCTATTTTCGGAAACCCATGGAGCAGTAGGTCAACCGGAGGGACCCCTTGCAAAGCCAGCTCGTAGCAGCAACCGCCATGCGTCCAGGTTTGTGCGGCAAGGTAGTAGCACATTACTGCAATGCCTCTCACAGGACGTTTCTACAGCGTGAGCTGTAGAAAAATCGTGGAACTGTACTGGCTAGGCTACAAAGGATAGAAGTGAGCGAGAACCAGCTCTCGACCCGATGCAAGCCTGGCCATGACTTCTGACAGCGACTCGTCGGGAGATGACGAGAAGGAGGCAGACTGCATGGCTACTGGCAGCTGTCCTCCAGCTTCTTGCGGTTATCATGGTACTTGATTGAAGTACTCGTGGTAGGCAGTAGTAGTGGTGGCGGTACGGTACTTCGTCATCGTTATCGTTGTAAGTCGGCGTAACAGCAAATGCAGCAGTGGTGGCGGTGGCAGTGGCCGTGGCAGTTGTGGTGGCAGTGGTAGCAGCGGTAGTGGTAGTGGTCGTATTCGGTGGTGGTGGTGGTGGTGGTGGTGGTGGTGGTAGTAGGGGTAGCACCAGTGGTAGTGGGGTAGTAGCGGTAGTGGTAGTGGTGGTGGTAGTAGTACTAGTAGTAGCAGTAGTAGGTGGTGGTGGGTAGTGGGAGTGCAGCAGTAGCAGTAGCATTTGTCGTCGCAGTCTTGGTCATTGCCTTCTTCGTCGTTGTTGTTGTTGGTGATGATGGTGGTGTCGGTGAGGTAGGGGCAGGCGTAGGAGCAGGAGTATGAGTAACAGAGCCAGAGCAGAACAGGAGCAGCAGCAGCAGCAGCAGCAGAAGCCATAGGAATAACGTCAGGAAAGGCACGGGCACCAGCAAAGGCACCCGTGCTGAATAGTGTTTTAGCAGTTGTACGGAACTTCTGCATTGCAATCATGATGCTGATGTCAAGGACGATAATTGTTGTGCAGCCGGTGTATCAGACCTGCCCAAGCCACGCAAACAGTAAAAGGAGCCCTCCGAAGTGTAACCAGCGCTGCGGTTGAGGGTGAGCGACGTCAAGCCCAAGTCTAAACCTGTAAACCCCTGTACACAAGCCCTGCACATAGAAGCCTAAACTTAAACCCATCTAAGCTCTAAGCCCTAGCCCGTAAACCCTACTACCCGCGCTGAATGACTGAACGTATCTTCCAGCCCTTCATTTCCCACAGGCCAAAGAGGAGTCTGCTCCGAAGACGGCACCGCCTCCAAAAGCGCGGCCAATTCGAAATCTGCCGCCACCAAAAGGCTCGCATGGGGGTATGGGGTTAAGGATTCTTAGGTACTATCACTGCAGATAGGAGCACCGCCAACAAGAGTGCTGTGGCAACAGTATCAGCAATAAACTGTGAGTCGCCACCACTTGGCAGCACTAAACTCCCTAAGCCCTAAACTCCCTAAACCCTAAAGCCCTAGACCCTAAACCTCCCTCAACCCTAAACTCCCTACGCCCCCTAAAAACCCTCCCCTAAACATCCCTAAACCCTCCCCTGAACCCTCCCAGGCGAGCGTCCTGCGAAGAGGATCAAGGCGGAGCCCTCCGATGAGCCAGAGCACGTTGGCGGGCTCGGCCCTGGCCCTGTCACTCCGCCTCCCCCGCCGGGTGGGCTGCCACAAAAGGCCCAGGGTTTGGGGTTTATAGGGTTTAGGGTTTAGGGTTTAGGGTTTATAGGGTTTAGGGTTTAGGGGGTTTGCAGGGGGTGTGTAGTGTAAGCATTGGGGTTCGGGCTTGGGGTTTCGGGGGGTTTGGGATTTTTTTTCATGATTTATAGGACCAATTACAGGATTTTGGGACGTAGGGCTTTAGGCTTTTTGCTCCTTGCCCATGCAGGTGCCGGAAGTGAAGGCGATGCCGCGGCCTCCGGCGTCCACGCCCATGGCGAAGCCGGTGAGCCACGATGCACCCGAGGTGACGAAGGAGGAAGAGGAAGAGGAGCCTTCACCGGCTCAAAGTTGGCCCGACAAGAGTTGGTCTGAGCACCGAGACCGGGAATGGGAAGGCTGGGAAGGCTGGGAAGGCGGATGGAGAGGCTACGACTGGAGCTCCCGCAGCAGCAGCAGCTGGGAGAATAACAGGTGGACCAGATCCAAAGAGTCCGAGCCAACTCCACCGCCAGCCTGGCGGACGAAGAAGACTCAATCCAGACGTCCGGCGGTTCCTACAAATCCTCCGAAGGCCAAAGAAAAGTACTCGCCACCACCACAGCTGCCACAGCAACGCCCAGCGGCGAAAGGAGGCAGGGCTCTCTTCAGCAACCAACTCACGACCTCACATATCGCTAGGCATGGTGTAGCCTGCAAATGTGCATGGCTGCGAGGTGGAAAGAATCCTGGAAAGACCTTCCAGACGGCAATTCATTGGCTGCGCCAGGGGACGAAGCCCCCAGCCGCGAAGGCGCCAGCCGCGGGGGCCAGCACTGTGCACCCCGGACCGGTGACGGTTCGCTCCAGTTGGCCACAGGAGGCCGAACCGCAGAAAGCCTTTGTGCTTCAGTTGCAGCATGTTGCAGATGACCAGCATTCACAAGCTTGCGAGGCCCAGCGTCTTCGAAGTATCTCGATCGAGATAACGAGCATGCTGAATGCTTCTTGGCAGCAGATGAAACCCAGCTTTCCAGCTGCATGCGTCTGCAATCTGCAATTTGCTGCATATCTCAGCGCCCCCTGCAGGAGCCGAAGAAGATGAGGCTCTCACAGATCGCCCGGGATCTCTTGGCAACTGCAGACCGCCTGGATCCTGATCCTCAATGAGGCCGTGCAGCGATTAGCCAAGACATGAGAGCTCGCCGCTCGCCTTGCATCCACGGTCGTGGTTTTGTCGTCGCCCACACTAAACCCTAAACCCTAAACCGTGTGGTCACCGTCGCCCTCCGGCCCATCACTATCAGACATCGTCATCGTCATCATTACTTGCTGTCGTCATCGTCATCATCATGCCCAACACCATCAAGACAGCGAAAACGCAATGCAAGACTACCGTCGGCCGAACAGAATAGCAACAAGTACAACGAGCAGACAACCCAACTACAATGTTGGTGTGATTTGCTGTTTCCCAACGGCCGAACGTGCGAGGTGCAACACGAAAATAAGAATGACCTGGACAGCAACTTCAACGGACTTGATCAGTGTTCACAATTTAGAGGCTTATATGAGTAAGCATCGCAAGAGTGGCAGCAATTTGAGCATTCCGGTTTCTTGCAGCACGTGAGACTACAGGTCTCGTGCTGCTCTTCACACCAACTCGTGGGGTTCTTGAAACTCGGGCTACCTTAGTGACTGATGTCGATTTTGTATGCTGGATTTGTCTGAATATTAAAGAAACTTGTGTTGAACATTCCATGTCATTCTCCCTTTTCCACCATACCCTATAATCGCTAGACCCCTTTGCAGTTGTTGTGTTCGTCTCAACCGGGCCGCTTTCCTGTACCAACACCAGGAACCCGGCAAAGCGCGATCAACTTAGAACGTATTATACCAGCTGGGTGAGCTCGGAGTGTTAGCCCCGCATCCCTCGATTTCCAGGTGCCTGGACTCGTTCGGCCGACCACTCATTCGGCTGGCTCACCTGAAAACCTGCGATGACATGCTGACTTGCAGCCTGCGACTGAATTCGGAGCGGTTTGAGAGAATGTTCTTGTGGCTTGTTCGCCCTCCCCGCGCAGGCGACGATCGTTCGGCCCTCAGATTCTCTGGAGGATCACGTTGGCAGTTAATTAAAATTCGGTCTCTTGGCTACGGTCTAAATTCACAGGGCAGTACGCATAGGCCCCATAGTATATAGTTCCTTTTTGGGGTTCATATTTAGAATCCTATAAGGTAATCCCAAAAAGGAACTACTATGGGGCCTGTGGGTGTCTTCTTGATTCGGGTCCATCGGACAACCTCCGCTCGCAAAATTTTAAACGCTCAAGCAACCCTTTGAGGGAGCCCTGTACAGTATCCCTTCTAATGTCCCTTTAGAGGAATCCCTTTAAAGCACCCCTTCAAAGGACCTCTTTAAAGGAGCCCTTTAAAGGAGCCCTTTAAATCATTCCTTTAAAGGAGCCCTTTAAAGGATCCCTTTAAAGGAGCCCTTTAAAGAAGCCCTTAAAAGGAGCCCTTTAAAGGATCCCTTTAAAGGAGCCCTTCAAAGAGCCCTCTTTTATTCCCCCCAGGGCTTGGTCTTCATGATCTGCTGGTTGACGAAGATCGCCTACTTCGTGCTCCTCACGGATCTCCTGGACGGGGGCCCCAGGATAGGGTTTAGGGTTTGGGGTTTGGGGTTTAGGGTTTAGGGAGTTTGGGGTTTAGGGTCTGGGGTTGGGGTTTAAGGTGTAGGGTTCAGCGAATAAGCGCAATACTGACTTTTTTCGGCGCTCTAAGTAGGCGAAGGCGGACATCGCGGTTACTACTCTAGTGCCTTAGCATTTTTAATACCCCCCCCAAGTATCCCTTAGTTAAACAATGGAATCCTGAACCCAAAGGTGAAATCCTCACTCAGCGTCAGCCGAAACGCTCGACGCTGAACGCCCCCGATCCTACATCCTGCAACCCTGACACCTTACACAGCCTACTTAAAGGATCATGGGACTTAGTAAGTAGGGTTATAATTAGGGTAACTAGACTTATAACCCCAATTAAGGGACTTACAACCTTACTTACTAAGTCCCATGATCCTCCAAGTACTATAGGGGCCTCATGATTACCTGTATTATGTTGCGGCTGCCTTATTATAATCATAGTATAGTTTTCCCCCACAGCCGTATTCTAAATATCAAGGCCCCTACACTGCACGACGAAACCTAAGAGAAGCCTGTTTCCTGCTTCCCTAAACCCCCAAACCCCCGCTAGAAGCCTCATAGAACCTTGAGAGAGAGAGCCCTGAATTACAGAGCCCTTGTGGACCCATGACATTTAGAATAGGGTTTTGGGGTATACTCTACTATAATTATCATGAGGAGCCCCCGAAATAATACAGGATTTTGGGGTATACTCTACTATAATTAGAATAGGGAACCCCTTAAAATAATGTAGGTACTTAAAAAAGGCCCCGATAGTCAGACTTACCGGAGGTTCCTGTGGCCGAGCTGATTGTGCCTTCATCTCAGAGCTCCAAGCTTGCTAACCAGGGGACGGTTTAGGGTCTTAGGGTCTTAGGGGGTTTTAGGGTTTAGGTTTAGGGTTTAGGGTGTTGAGGGTCTTGGGATTTTCCGTGTCTTTAAATTCGGCTTTCTCGCTGTATTGGGCGTCTAGGGTCTTTTGCAGGCGTTTAGGATGTAGTAGGGTGCAGGGTTTGGAACGTCCGCGCATCCGACACGTCCGTGGCGCATCCCTCAGAGTGCCGTTTCGGCTGCCGCGGCCAAGCTGGTCTTCGGCTACTAGTAGCAGCTTCTATCGCATCCTAGGGTGGATGAGAGGTTTAAGCGTTCAATCTGCAGAGCACTAAACTCTATAACCCTATAAACCCGAAGCCCTATAAACCCTAAACCCTATAAACCCGAAACCCCTGCGCGAAGAATCTTCTGAGGCCCAGCTTGCGGACTTCGTACACTCCCGAGACGACCCGACGGATTGCAAGGGCCCTGGCGACTACTACGAGCCTTAGTAATGAGAATAGGGCTTGGGGCTATATTATACTATAATTATAATTATAACCCGACCTTCAATGTAATGTAGGGGCCTCAGTAATTAGAATAGGGTTTGGGGTATATTATACTATAGTTATAATAAGGAGCCCCCCAAAGTAGTATAGGTAATTATTAAGGCCCCTACATTACTGAAGACTGTGCAACAAGGTAGCCAGGATGGCACCTTGTTTGCCTCCTGCCACTCAACGTCCCATTGCCTGCACTAGCTTGGATCTTTTTGAGCTACACTGAGGTGGTTTGCATCGCCGCACTCTTTCTGTCGCCCATGTGCTTCAGAAGAGCCTTGGCCAGGATTTGAGCTCTCGGCCGAGGGAGGTATATGTATATATGTATGTCTGTCAGTCTGTCGGTATGCATGTGTGTATGTATATGTGTCTATCTATGTATCTCGGCATCTATGTACCTGTAAGAATCTATAGTTATCTATACCCATTTTATCGACAGATCGAGCGATCGACAGACATTTAGGTGCAGGTCGGTAGGTAGATACACATGCGCACATAGTGTTAAGACTAACCCTAAAACTCTAAAACCCTAAACCCTAAACCCTAAACCATAATTAAGACCCCTGGGGCCCCAAAGATCCTGAGTCCATCCTCATGAATGCCAGACCCTAAAACCCCAACTAGAGCGAGTCCCGCCGCCATTTAGGGTTAGGGTTTAGGGTTAGGGTTTAGGGTTTAGGGTTTAGGGTTTAGGGTTTAGGGTTTAGCGTCCGTTTATACTTTGCCTTTTTTCAAAACCCCTAGCTGAGGTAGCCTGTCGGCCCTGCGATTCATGTGCTTCGCGAGCGTCTCCAGTGCCGGGAAGCCTGGTAGGATCCTCTCTCGGTTTGGGTACTTAAAGGGTCATTGGGTCTTAGTAAGTAGGGTTATAATTAGGATAGCTATACTTATAACCCCAATTAGGGGACTTATAACTTTACTTACTAAGTCTTACTAAGTCCCATGATCCTCCAAGTAGGGTTTCGGGCTAAGAAGTGCAGCATCTACTGGCAAGGTTGGGGCCTGGGTTCAGAAGTTGAATCGGGTTCAGAGTTGTGGCGGGTATTTAACTAGTGGGGACCTAGGAAAGGTTCTGTCTTAGATGTTGGGGATTCTGACTCGTTGACTCAAGACCCAAGTTTCTTAAGTTCTTGCCGCGAAGCCTTGAGTTTATCTGAACCTCCTCTATAGATCCCAAGACTTGAATTACGTTAGAGGAAATTGAACACCTGAATCTTTGTGGGGATCCTAAGGGGGCTGACGTTTGAGGGAACCTGGCCCTGTAGACCTGAGTCTTTGTTACCCATAGGCCCCATAGTAGTCCCTTTTTGGGGTTCATATATAGAATCCCATGAGGTAACCCCAAAAAGGAACTACTATGGGGCCTATGGGTAGATCTCACCCAAAACCATGCGTGCCCCAAAAAGTCTCCTCGCAGGTGGCCGTCGTGGGTGCTGTGGTGGGCATTCGGGCCTTCGAGTCCCTCGGGCGCGAGCACACCATCCAGGCCGTTTGGCGCACATAATGTACACATGTAGATGTTATGCATCCATGTATCAAGCACAACGTATCATATATATATATATAATATACACACACACGCACAAACATGTTTATGTGTGTATGTACGTCTGCATGTTTGAATGTCTGCATGTCTGTCAGTCTGTCTGTCTGTCTGTCCGTCTGTCTGTCTGTGTGTATGTATGTACGTATGTACGTATGCATGTCTTTTTGTAAAAACATCTATATACGATTACATATACGAATACGTATACACATACATATACAAATACATACAGTTACATATACACACGCACACACATACACATACCCATAGATAGATGGATAGCTAGATAGATACATAGGTTTGTATACGCGCACACTCTCTCGTCTAAATCTACATCTATATCAAGATCTACATCCATGTATGTACCTGTGTTTTGTGTGTCTCTACATCTCTCCCTATCTCTGTAGCTATCTATATCTAAAGCCATTATGTATGTACTACGTATATCGTGTTTAAATCTACGTATTAAAACATGCATGTGCGTACACATATGTTCTGTATGCCCCCAGCTGAATGTACCACTGCGCATACGTAGGCAGTACGTCTCATGATCACAACGAGAACCCCTCTAAATGTGCAATCATCCATCCATCCATCCGTCCGTCCATCCATCCATCCATGCATGCATGAATGCATTCATTCATTCATTCATTCATTCGTTCGTTCGTTCGTTCGTTCCTCCGTTCCTCCATTCCTCCATTCATCCATACACCCATGCTTGCATGCATGCATTCATTCACTGGTTCACATATATAGATATATATACACACACACAAACTTACTACCACCCTAAACCCTAAACGAGAGTCACGAGAGTGGGTAAAAAGGATGTCGAAAGTCTGTGCCTTCTGGCGCAGCTTCCACCGCAGTCTCGATATCCCAAACCTTAAGGTCCTGAATACCGAATGAACTGTGTCGATCGTTGCAACAGCTTTAGGAAGCTGCACGATTCAACAGGTTCTCTCGGTAGGTATGACCATCAGAACTGCAATCCCTCCGGTGAGCCAGGAAGTTGGTTTGACTTGGTCGGACTTCGTTGAAGTCGAAAGTCCCAAAACCCTAAACCCCCCCCAAAACCAAGAAACGTAAACCCCTAAACCCTAAACCTTAAACCCTGAAACCCCTAAACCCCCCAAACCCTAAAACCCAAACCCCTAAACCCTAAACCCCTAAACCCTCTACCCCCCAAACCCTAAACCCCCAAACCCGAAAAACCTAAACCCCTAAACCCTAAAACCCGAAACCCCGAAACCCCGAAACCCGAAACCCTAAACCCTAAACCCCCAAACCCTGCACCCCTAAACCCACACTCCCTGGACGCTGCTTGTTGGCAGGTGCAGCTTCCCAGCCACTTGAACCGGATGGTGCAGGCGGAGGGTTTAGGGTTAAAGGGGTTAAAGGGGTTTAGGGTTATAGGGGTTATAGGGTTATAGGGTTTAGGGTTTAGGGTTTAGGGTTTAGGGTTTTAGGGTTTGCGGTTTGGGATTATAGGGTTTAGGTTTAAAGGGGTTTAAGGTTATAGGGGTTATAGGGTTTAGGGTTGGAGGGGTTTAGGGTTATAGATAGGGTTTAGGGTTAAGGGTTAGAGGGGTTCGGGGTTATAGGGTTTAGGGTTATAGGGTTTAGGGTTAATAGGGTTGAAGGTTTAGGGTTTTAGGGTTAAAGGAGCATGGAACTTGGTAATTAGGGCTACCATGGTTTAGATTTTAGGGTTTAAAGAAAACAAGAGAGCTGTACTTAGAACTACTTATGAACCCAATAAGGGGTATGATGTGGCATCGTAGGACTGAGCCATTCTGCTGGGCCTTGTTATATTTATATATATATATATACATATATATATATATACACATACATATATATATATATATATACACATACACATATGTGTATATATATATATATATGATATCAGCTTATTGCTGTAATTTGTTATCTGCAAATATCTTGCCAAGCATGAGTACAACATTCCTCACGCCGTATAAATGTCGGCAGACAGCGAAACCTAGGCCGTAAATCCAAGAGCGCGACTCCCTAAACCCCACGCCTGACCCTAGACAGTCTAAACCCTAAACTTCCCTAAACTTCCAAAACCCCCAAAACTTGAAGGAATTTGGGGGGCTTCGTTCCTCAGCAGAATGGCTGCTAGTCTGCAGGGTTTGCGAGGATTTCCGCATAAGGAGAATCCGAATAGCTATGATGCCTCCTCAAGGATCCGGCATGACTTAGGCTACTATCCTTACTACTGTGAGTATTCTGCAACGGTAATAGTCTGTAAGAACCATGAAGGCCCATTGTAGTGACGAGCTATGTTACTAGACCCGAGACCTAAGCCCAGGGAAGCACAAGCTAATATAGGGGCCTCAATAATTAGCTATATCATTTTGGGGGTTCCTTATTATAACTAGAGTTTAATTAATACACCCCCCCAAGCCCTGTTTCAATTATTAAGGCCTCTACATGAACACCGGTGGAAACTCCTCGTGCAGGTGATGCCAAATTACAACCTCTGGCCAGAGAACTGGGCAGCTCCGAAGCATTTTGAGCCACACTACGTGAGTTTGGGGTTTAGGAAGTTTAGGAGGGGTTTAAGAAGTTTAAAGTTTAGGATCGATCGAGTAACTGTGGGGGTTGCTTAAAAAGGGTTTTTTTTGGTAAAACGCTGTTCTAGGGTCTCGTATAGAGGATCCCTTTTGGCTGCAGGCATTTGGTGCCCTCGCCTGTATGCATGGGGCTGCAGAAGTCAGAACTCCGCTCATCGGTATGGGCCACCCCAATTGGGGGCCTTAACAATTACCTACATTATTGCGGCGGTTCCTTATTATAAGTATAGTAGAAGGGACCCCCAAAGCCCTATTCTAAGTATTAAGGCCCCTACATTAGTCCACCCAATCCTGAACCAGAAGCCCGATACCACGAACCCGTGCGCTGCATGACAGACAAGACCGAAGACCCGATCTTCAACGTAATGTAGGGGCCCTAATAATTAGAATAGGGTTTTGGGGGCTTATTATACTATAATTAAAATAAGGAACCTCCGAAATAAAATAGGCTATTCTTGAGGTCCCTATACTAGACATCAAGCATTCGGATCCCCGTCAGGGCTCTTCACACGGACTTTGAACATCGCAGCTCAGCAAACCAGGAACAGGCGATGTACGCTCTTCCCATCTTCGGGGTCTCCTTCTTGCGCCTCGGCACACCTGCTTCATTTTCCGCCACTGCCGTTGCACCAGTGATGTATTACTGTATGTTCGCTCTGACTGTTCAGGTGTCACTTCAACGCACTGCCGACGCATCAAGAGCTGGAACGGCCGACGCGCTATCGCATGAGAAGGGTGATCTTGGTGACGCTCACATTGACGTCGGTCTTCTGGCAGCTTCATGCCCATCCTTCTAGTACGAAACCCTGTATGCATTGTCTCGAAGCACCCCGAATAAGGTGATTGGGTCAATCTGTGACCTTGATTAAACATATATAATATGTACTACTAGGTGATACACACATAATACGTAATATGTCGCTGTAAATATATACACATGCAAGTAGGCGTGTATGTATATATATATATACACATACATATGTATATATATATATGTATGCAAAATACACACATGCACATATATATATATACATACATCTATGCATGTGTACATCTTGGTGTGTATATATATATATATGTACGAAAGACTTCTGTGTACTATTTGGAGATAGGCTTACTGTATAGTATAATGACACTATACTATACAGAAAGCCTATCTCCAAATAGTACATAGAAGTCTTTCGTACATATATCCAGCCAATTAAACTGTTTATACTCCGTAAAATTTTACAGTTTAATTGGCAATTCAATGAAACTCTAAAGACTGTTTTCAAATTTTAAAGCCCTTGAAGTCCTTAATTTTAAGATGTAATTGGCCACCCAAATTAAATTTAAACAGTTTTTAGACCTTTCAAGAACCCTTAATCTTTAAAAACTTAATTGGCACACCAATTAAATTTTGAAGATTTCAAAAAAAAAAAAAGGATTTTCCAAGGTATAAATCCCAGCCTCCGGCCTCCAGCCCAGCGCAGCCAATTAGATTTTAAAGATTGTGAAGATGTTACAGCCTCTTAAAATCTTTAAAATCTTCAAAAATTGAATTGGCCCTCCCAGTTAAATTGTAAAAAATACAATTCTCCCGGCTCACCTCCAGCCCAGTCCCCCGAGCTACAGCCCCAGCTCCAGCCCCCTCCAGCCAGCCTTAGCCCTCAGCCCAACCACCCAACCCGATCTACAGGTGTGGAACCCTAACTCGATTTTCGTAGAAAGCTCATCCTTGGGAGAGGGGTACCTGGATCCGGACGCCGATGGCATTTTTGAAAAGTACCCTTCTCTACAGTTTTTTTTGGAAAGCGGCCCTGCCATTGCGGCTGCGCTGGAGCAACAGCATGGCTTCGAGTCGCATTACTCTCGACAGGCTTGTTTTCAAATGATTGAAGACGACGCCTTGAGTGGACTCACGGAACGAAAGGTGAGAGCCGCGTGTGGGCTGCTTCCACCAGAGCGCAAGCACACACATTCCCATGCAGGTTGATCAGTGTGTATGTCTCTTTGTCTCTCTTTCTATCTTTCTCGGTCCTGTTTTTTTTGTCTCTCTCTCTCTCTCTCTTTCTCTTTCTGTCTCTTTCTCTCTTCCTTTCTATGTTTTGATCTGTGTCGTTTTTTCCCATAGTGTCGCTTTCTATGTGTACCATGTTATGTCGACTCGATAGAGTTCCAATGAGACTGTAGATTGTATCGCACATTATTTGTCGCAGCCCGTCAGCATGATCTGTACGCGCAGGAGACCACCATCGAGAGGCCGCAGACCAATCTCCTCGCCATAATAAGGCCATCGAGGAAACGACCGTTCGGTCAACGCTGTGCCGGGCACCGCTGTGGAGAAGGCAAATGCCGCCGCCATTAAGCATCTCCTAGAGATCAATAAAGCAACCGTAAGCAAGCTTTGGTGACAGCGTTTTGCGAAATCCAAAATCGGCATCAGCAAACACATGCTTGAGGAGTTGGTCAAGGATGCTGTTTCTGCCAGTGGATGCAAAGTCAGAGCCGGAGCACTTCATTCCCACGGTAGCATGTGCAAAGTCGCTACATGATCTGTTCCCCGTCGATTACAAGTTTCTGACAACGGTGCTGCATGAACGTTTCAGCGCTAGAAAGCTGTGGAATGCCGTGCAAAGCAATCCGGGCCGGGGTGCGAGTGTTGAGCTGCTGCAGCATTTTTTCGAAGGTGCTGGCCAAGTTGAAGTCTGGCAAAGGTCGTAAATCTGAAAAGAAGCTTGATGCAATCGCACATTGGCGACCATTGTCTGCAAAGTTGCTGGAAGCATAAAGCCTGAATGATGTTCAGCAATCCCAGGAGCAGCATCCCCCTCAACCCAACCTGCGCAGATGCCTGCTCGTCGTCGGTTCACAAGAAAGATGGGCGGTCTTGCGGCGGCTGGAGAATCGCTGGCATGTCAGAGAACACGTCTTCGGGAAGCGCTCCAGCTGCGAATCCTTTCGAAGGAGACGACCGCAACGGTTTTGTGAGCGTGTAGATATAAGCTGGAGAATGTGCGCGTTCGGAGATATGCTGATGGTCTCCCTCCTGCAAAATCTTGGCACGGCGTGGCAGGCGGTAGTTCTTGCAGGGACGTTCGACCTTGACATTGAGAACTGCTGCTTCACGTTGTTACTACAGGTCTTGGAGAGACTAAATTGGCCAGGTGCCAGGGAGACATTGCGTCGTTTCGCGACGCCACGAAAGCATATTATTGAAAACAAGCTGAAGGTAACTTTGTCGGAAGGGAAGTTTCCAGCTCTTAGGGACGTCAATACTGAAGTAATACAAAAATATGAGTTGATATAGGTATTTGTATCTGAAACAAGAGAGATCGCCAAGCCATACATAAAGGTCCTTGCGACATATATATATATATATATATATATTTATATATGTATACAGCAGTAATACGTGTAGACACCTACATACAGCATGCAATCAAACACATGCATACTTACGTATATGAACATACATGAACATACCAGGTCCCATAGTTAATCTAGATCATGCATGTGTTGCCTGCCGTGTCGGTGTACGTGCTTTGTGATTTGCTGTACGTTTACATGTGCGCAGCATCTCAACATAATTTCCTGCATACGGTGCTCCATAGCTTGTTTGTGGTACTGGTTTCGTTTACTTGTTCAAGTTTTTTGTGCTTGTACATAGAACATGATACTCTATATATATATATATACACACACACATATGCAAGAACCATCGTTCTCACTCCTACATTGCAAGGCCTTGAAAGTTTTGGAAATTTGACGTGTGCGTCAAGTTGTGTATGGGTGAACCATGAGTCATGACTTTCTTCTTATAAATTTTATATGTATGTCTATCCCTGCAATCGGCACTATGCTCATTGCAAGTGCTGTTCTTCAAGGAGTGAGGAATCCTAGCCGCTGCCGCTCACACCATCCTCATTCTCAGGTTGGTCATTGCGGGGCATGTTGAAGGCTTCAGATTGTGCGTAGAATGTCCAATCAAGTTATGGCATGTTGGTTTGCCAATGCCGCACTAGCGTGAATAGTATTGACAGAACCGTTCTGTATGTGTTTGTATATGCTGATATCGAACATATCTATACAAACATAACAATCACACACCCTACATCCATATACCCGTACATTGGCACATGCATGCATGCATGCATGCATGCATGCATGCATGCATGCATGCATGCATGCATGCAGGCATACATGTTACACCCGAGCGCACATGAATATGTACACACATGCAATCACATGTATATACATACGTAAATACCTGCCTGCCTGCATACATATGTTCTCATCACATACGTACATAAATGCATACTCGTTTGCGGCAGTTCGTCGTCCTCCTTCACCTTCCTAACAAGAACCCGAAGGTTTAGTTCAGGACACTGTGCAGCTGAAACTGCTGTATTTAGCTTTAGCCGAAAAAATTGAACTCAAAGCTTGCATGGCAAAAGGCGTTCCTTCTAGTCTGGCTGTGGATTGTTGAATAGGCTCACCATTGCCTGACATACCTTTGGGATCTTGTTCTTCCTCCATCAGAGTTCCACGTCAAGCAGCCAAGTTGATCTACCTCTTCGTGAGCATCTGCGGCTACCTTTTTGCTGGCTGCTTCACCTGCGGCAACGTCCTGCTGAACTTCCCATCTGATGATCCTATGCAGCAGACAGTGAGAGCTTGCAGATGGTTCATCGCTCTGTTATTTTTGAGCTGCTTTCAGCTTTATTGCACAGCCCGTAACTCAGCTGTGGCTTCTGATTGAGGGGGCAGAAAGCAACCCAATGAAGACACGGAGCGAACAAGGTCAAAGGCACTCGTGTCTGGCGCCCTGCCTCTAAACACTGGCCTTGAAGCCGCTGTCAGCTTACACCTGAACCTAAACCAATAACCTAGCTAAACATAAACCCCGAACGGCGAAGCCCTAAGCCCCTTTGCCCAACCCCAAGCATTGAGCCCCTAGGCCTAGAGATGAATCACTATGAACCCTTGAGCATGCACCCTTGTACGTTCTAGGGTATAGGCTTTCGAGAAGGCCGGTACGAATTAAAGAATTAGTTCAGTGGCAGCGTCGGCAAGCTGATTTTTCCTTGGATCGGCCTCCCGACGCCTTCATGGATGAATGACACCCTAAAGCCTTAACCCTGATCCCCTAAACCCTGAAGCACTGGCTTGCGTGGAACATGGCCTCAAGCTTTGCAAAGCGAGAATCGCCTTGGCTCTGTGATGGCAGTCTTGGGGCGTTGAGTCTGGAGTTTCCAACAGGGTTTAAGGTTTAAGTTTAGGGTTAGGGGTTTATGACAAATTACTTGGAGGTTCGTTGGTGGTTGTAAGTGGGGTTAGAGATAAAGCAACTATCTGCATAATCCATATTAGGGGACTTATAATTCTGACCCTACTGAACCCCCAAGTGGTAATTAATGCTATGTCTTCGGGCTGTTCTGGGCTCCCCAATATATCTGTAGCAACAGGTACACAAATCCCGTTCTAATTGTGATTAATTGCGAACCATAATACCTTCCTGGACCCTTCTCAGAGCATATATTCTTGCTGAGCTGGCATGTGGCATGTCATGCTTGGGAGATCGAGGACAACCTCATCAACGTCGCGCGAGTGGCGTTGGGAATGGCATGCTCGGCTTGTTCTCGAGATTCACTGTCACAGAGTCTGCATTTTGAGGGTGTATGGTTGTCTATGTTCACCATGGCATTTACCAAGCTAGTTACTCAGTAACGCTGTTTGGAGATGATGTTAACCGATTATCAAAATGGTGTGTATGCTAAGTGCTATATAATTGTACGACCCTGCTCATCATCGTCACCATCATCATTCTTAATCTTTAACTAACTGTCTTTGGTCAAATTGCTCGTGCTTGGCCTAGCTCGCGGCCAGGTGTTGATGCTGAACTTCCCCCTCATCTGCCAGCCTTGCCGGAACGCGCTCTTCCGGCTCCTGAACGGCTCTGGCTGCGTCAAGGCTGCGGAGGTGCCGCTGACAGAGTCCCTGGATGGCGCCCGGGAGATGCTCAGCGAAATGTTGGGGTTTCGGATTTGGCGGATGCAGCACTGTGTTGCGAGAAAGGCACAAGAGCAACAACTTTGGTTATGACTAAAAGGACTACAAAAATCACTACCAGTCACTACCAACAACTAGCAAGGCCAACAGCTAGTAGGGTTGAATATGACCCCAAACCCTACTTGGAGGTTCATGGGTAGTTATAAGTGGGGTTATAAGTAGGGTAACTATATTTATAACCCATATTATGGGACTTATANNCCATGAACCTCCAAGTAAGCCCTGAATAAGGAATAGCTCCGGCTCCTTTAGCCTGGAGATCGTGTCGACTTCCACGAACGACCTCACCAGCGACTCACAGGTGGGAGTTGTTTCAAACCGTCTCCTTTCTTGGACCCTTATCGGAACAAAAATCTGCTAGTAGTAGTGAGGGGTTTATAACGGGCTTAAGGGGAGCTTAAGGGGTCGGAATAGTTATTCATATCCGCCCTGTAAAGTCCCTCTATACATGTAGCCCAAAAGACCTATTCTAAGCCTTAAGGCCGCTAAAGTAGGACTTGAAGTATGATCATCGTATCTATTTTTATTGTCATTTGTGCTCAGTATGATTATGATCATTATCACTGTTGCAAGTTATTGTTATGTTAGGCCTCGAGCGCCTTAGTGAGCTCCTTGAAGAGCCCCCCAGGTGGGACGGCTGCCGCGTGTCGCCGACCCGACACCTTCCAGGCCGCATGTGGGGGTCTACGATTGCCAGATGCAGGGTTTGGGGATTGGGGTTTAAGGTTTATCAAGGTACTAAAGGGGGACCCTTAAAGGGACATTTGGGGTTATATAGGGGCTTTATGANNTTATGAGACTATATAAGGGGTATACAAGGTTATATAGGGATATATAGGGTATTTGGATTAGGGGTCCCTTCTAGGGGTCCCTCCTATATTCCCTTAAGTTTAGGGAATAGCGTTTTCGATACCGGTTCGAAGCGCTGCACTGCTGCACGACGTGTTCCTGATGAGACTGTTCCGCTACACCAAAGACACCTGGGCACTTGCCCACGTGCCCAGTCGCATGTAGACTGCGGAGGAGCTGCCTGCGCAGTTTTCTGGTTTTGGAGTTCTTAGAGGAGCACTAACATGGCCATCAGTTCTAGCAACGGCTGCTTCGGCTTGCCGGCTCCAGGCAGCGGTCTTCCTCCCCTTCGCGGCCGTCATCTACACCTTCGTCCCCACCGGAGGCATGCGTGCACGTCTACCGTCGCCAGGAGCAGCTTCCATCACGTCTCCAGCCCTCGCCATGACAGTGAATCACTGGCACCATGCCTTTCATAGTTGTTCATCTCCTTGTAGCTGCTCTATATCTACTAACGGTCTTTGTGAGATTGCCAGCATCTAGCAGGACACCCGGGGAGGTCGAGGTCAGAGCTCTGCAAGGACCCGTGCCCCCACCGGTCTCTCAGCATCAGCGGTTCGTTGTGCGCATCCTTTGTCAAGCAAGTAGCGCATGTCGAGTTCATCCTTGAGAGGAACGCCCCCGACGTGCAACCTGTCTTGTGCTTCATCACTTGTTGTTTTTGTTTCGGCGGTCTCTGTTTGATTCAAGCTGAAAGCTGTACGGGCTGCTGCTAAACAGCTGAATATGGTACTTGGGGAAGTGCTGTGCTGCCTGTTCGAGGTCCCCTCCGGCTCATGAAGCACATGTATCATGACCGTCGTCGCCTTTCTTGTTGTCGTCATTCTTGTTGCTGCAGTTGTTGCTGTCATGCTTCTTCCCGTCTTCTTCGGCTTCCTCTTGCCGGCTGTTTCTCGTCCCGACTTGTAGTTCCTGTCATTCTTGGTTTTTGCCTGTCTCTCGAAGTGGCCCTAGGGTTCAGCTGAGCTCAAAACTCCTTCGTGTTTGCCGTAACTTAGAGTTTATGGGGCCTCACATTATTAATAGGGTTCCTATAAGATCCTACAAGCACTTTTTGATGAGGGTTCCACAAGGGCTCCACAGAGTACGAATGGGGTTATGCCTAAGGTATAGAAGTATGCATTACCCGTAGTGATATCCCTCTTTGCCCAATCAGTTATACCACAAGCCTCAAGTAATATAGTGGTTTGAATAATTCTACACGCTTTGTCAAAGGCCGGGGCCGGGAAGCCCCACCATTTCTTGGGGGGTGGGGGGAGGTCAGTGGCCGGATGCAGAGGAGAGGAGAAGGAAACAGGGAACCTTTGGCCGCTTCGGCCGGGGCCGAGGCGAACTAGTAATATTCCGTAGCATTCCTTGTTATAATTTTTTGGATAACCTTACCCCAACGTCATCATGGCCGTACACCTTCTGATTTTCAGTGGCCATAACATAGTGAGCTGAGAGGGACAAGGTAAAGTAGGACTGACAAGTGTGGGGGAAAGGGATGTCCGCGATACTCCGCAACCCCAAACCCTAAACCACAAACCCCAAACCCCATCCCTTACTCAGCTTCCAAAGCCTGCTACCCTCTTACATATGTTCTGCAGAGACACAGACCCTCTCTCTCTCACTCTCTCTTCTCTCTATAGATGTGATGTATGTGTATATATATATATATATACAGACACACACACACATATATATATATATATATATATATAATGCACCCCCCAAGCCACGATCCCGAATACATATTTCAGGGGGCCCCTGGCCCCAGAACTCAGGCACGTCTTCGACACCTTCCATCCCAAGGAAGAGGCCATGCGGCAGGGGGCCCTCGAGCCTACGAACTGCCAAAGAATAGCCCGCCGGCTCCATCAGAGTTTTCAGGGCCCTTTTCAAATTTCAGACATAGGGAGTTTAGAGATACAGGTGCAGGATATTGCGGATTGGGGATATTTGCGTGGCTTGGAACGTGCTCTCTACAATTCCTAAAATGGGCCCCTCAAATCTCTCGAAGCGGTGCCCCAGAGTGTGCCCCAGTGCCAAGAAATACGATTTGTTGCCGTTGCTTTGGCCTCGAAGTGGTGCCCCAGTGCGAAGAAGTATTGTACGATTTGTTGCCGTTGCTTTGGCCTCGAAGTGGTGCCCCCATGGTAAGAAGTACGATTTGTTGGCAGTGGTGTGCCAGTGCTATGAAGTACGATTTGTTGCCGTTGCTTTGGTTTCGAAGTGGTGCCCCAGTGCTAAATAGTGCTAAGAAGCACGACTTGTTGCCGTTGCTTTGGCTTCGAAGTGGTGCCACGGGGCTATGAGATACTATTTGTTGCGGATGCTTTGGCTTCGAAGTGGTGTCCCAGCCCTAAGACGTACGATCTGTTGCCGTTGCTTTGGCTTCGAAGCTAAAGCGTACGATTTGTTGCCGCTGATTTGGGTTCGAAGTGGTGCCCCGGTGCTATGAAATACGATTTGTTGCCGTTGCTTTGGCCTCGAAGTGGTGCCCCAGTGCTAAGACGTCCGATTTGCTGCCGTTTCTTTGGCAGTGTTGCGTCAAGGGTTCCTAAAGCTGCGATTCTGTATTGCCGTCCTGGAGCCTGGAACCTGCAAAACCTATCCTTTAAAGGACTTGTTTGAGGAAATCAGTTTAAGGAATCCTAATATGGTAGGGGTATTTGGGGTGAAGGTCGGGCTACGTACCGGTCGAGGAATTTACGGCTGCGGTTTTTGGTCTTTAGTCTCATGGTATCTCTCTGGATTTTTGCGGCCCAGTGCTAAGACGTAAGATTTGTTGCGGTTGCTTTGGCCTGGAAGTCGTGCCGCAGTGGTCGTTGCTTTGGCCTCGAAGTGGTGCCCCGACGCTGAGAAGTACGATTTGTTACCGTTGTTTTGGTTTTGAAGCTGAGGCGTACGATTTGTTGCCGTTGATTTGAGTTCGACGTGGTGCCCCGGTGCTATGAAATATGATTTGTTGCCGTTGCTTTGGCCTCGAAGTGGTGCCCCGGTGCTAAGACGTCCGATTTCTTACCGTTACGTTGGCCGCGACGTGCTGCCCCTGTGCTAAGACGTAAGATTTATTGCCGTTGCTTTGGCTTCGACGTCGTGCCGCAGTGGTCGTTGCTTTGGCCTCGAAGTCGTGCCCCAGTGCTAAGAAGTACGATTTGTTGCCGTTCCTTTGGCTTCGAAGTGGTGCCCCAGTGCTAAGAAGTAGGATTTGTTGCCCGTTGCTTTGGCCTCGACGTGGTGCCCCAATGCTAAGAAGTGCGATTTGTTGCCGTTGCTTTGGTCTCGAAGCTAAGACGTACGATTTGTTGCGGTTGCTTTGGCTCCAAAGTGGTGCCCAGTGCTATCTGAAAACTACGAGTTGTTGTGCTTTCGCTTCAAACGGCCCCGGTGCTGAGAAGATATGTTGCCCTAGCTTTGGCTTGCACCCTCGAATCCCTAAGAATCCCGAGAACTCTAAAATCCCCACGGCCCTCAAAACCTTGGAAAAAAACCTTACCTGCAGCCCCAGGTTCGAAGCCCAGCTTAGAATGTTGTCCATCGCTCATGAATTGTCAGCATGGTTGAGACCAGGGTTCAGGAGCTACAGATTAGGGGTCACGGGTTTGGGGGGGGTTAAGGTTTGGGGTTTAGGTTTAGGTCTTTGTTTAGGTCTTAGCGGTTGGGATTTACGGGTTTGGGGTCCACCTCCTGGTGAGATAATGCTAATGCTGATAGCCGCATTAGCGATCGCGGGAGCAGTGGTTGTACTTCGTACTTCGTACACACAGGCATGCTTGATGCGTGTATGTGTATATCTGAATGTATGTCTATCAGTATAGACATATGTATGCATGTATTTATGCATGCATGCATGCATGCATGCGTTGTATGTATGTATGTATGTATGTATGTATGTACGTACGTATGTATGTATGTATGTATGTATGTATGTATGTTAAAGGTTTATGTATGTATGAGGTACCATTACGGATTATTCCTCCTCCTGCTGCTACGGCTACGGTTACAGCTACTTTGACGACGAAGACTGCTGCCACAACCGACGCCGACAGCGACGACAACGACGACGACTACCACGCGTAATTTCTACGGCTGCGACTCGTACGACGACTGCGACCGCGACTACAACGATGAAGAGAATCCAAGGACTACGAACACGAGGACTATTCCTGCTACTGCTAACTTGGTACGGGCAGCAAGAAGAGCAACGTTGAAACTACAAAACATCGGGTAGCAGGAAAACAGGACCTGACGATCGCAAAGCGATGCCCAACTCATACTGCATCAGAACAACAGTAAGGAAAGCATCATACAATACGTTTGCCCCAGGTGTTAACATCCCTCCTTCTGGGCACTTCGTTGCTGGTGAGCTGTGTCATGAAGAGCATCATGGTCGTTTGGTCCGTGATTGGCAGTACGGCATCTTGGCGTAAAGTGAGACTTACCCATGCGACTTGAACAAAAGGGCCACATCTCGAATCGCGGTGCGTTCTTGACACATCAGCTGGCATGCTGGTACCGAGGTAAGTTTCCTCATAGCTTTCATCCTGCCGGCGCTCTTTTGGTACAAGGTGCAGCAAGAGCCGTCAGCCGTGGTCCCACGTTTTTGAAGCGAGACTTGGGCTGCAGGTGGTTGGACCAACGGTGCGCCCCTGGCGCCGTGGCGCTGCACTGGGGCTCATTGCCCTGTGCTGCGTGCTGTCCGCAATCTGCTTCGTCCTGGCCTGCACCGCACTGAGCTCTTGGAACTCAGCTGAGAATTGAAATCTCGGATCTGGCATTCAGCCTGCTGTACACACTGTATTTTTGTAAACTATATGTGTACGTGTAGACACATATACATACATGTATACATAT